TTTTGGATTTTTTAGGTTGTAAAAGTATTTATTATTATTATTTCATTTTTATAGTATTATTAGTACATTTTAGTAAACTATGAATAACCAAAGCTTAGAGTTTATATAATTTGTGATTTGTTAATTATTATGAAGTATGAATAAAAATAGTAGAATTAGCCATGTATCATATCGAACGCTGAACATTAAATAATAAATTGTTTGTTGCAATTTTCTGTATTTATATGGTATATTATAATTTATAGTGCATATTTCAAGATTAATTATGTTATATTATAATTCTTGTTAGTGCTAAAAGTTAAATAAACTCTGTTCATAATAATAAATAATAACTATAAAAATTGTTGTAAAATTTAAATTTAAAATCTAATTTTTAAATGAAATTACTAGAGGAGATTGAAGAGAAAATGACTGTTATGTACTGGAGCCTAGAAGTGTTATGATGCTTCCTCATGATAGATACATTAATTATGGATTAATAATAATACTACAATTATTTCTGTATAATATGCATATTACTAAAATATGMCATGTACTTAAACCTAACCTCTTTTGATTCATAGACTTATGATACAAGAAAATGTTTAAATAGAATATACATATTACATATAAGCTTTTTTGTTTACTTATTTTCCTAAATTAGGTATCATTAACTATTTCTGAATGCTGATTGATAGTTAATTTATWGTGTTGATGAATTTTTAAATATCATTTCAGATAAATTGCTAGACTGGTAGACCGCGTAGCTGCTCATCACTCAGATGCTCACAAGTATTTAATGGATTATGTATGAATACAAAAATACCAATACTATATTATTTTTGTCTATGTTTTTTATTTTTGTTTTTTCTCACTGTAAAATAATGTGATATAATGTTATAATTACAAGGATACAAATAAAAATTGTTTGTATAATTATTTTTTAATTCTCTTTAGTACATTCCAATTAATGTTGAAAGTCTTGTATAATATTTTAACATTATTAAACCTAGAATAATTGTATAAACTCCTTTGATAGCGATTATAGACCAGGGATCAATTAAAAGCCAAGCAGCAAGAGAGTCTATAACCACTGAACGGTAAACAGACAGTAATAGAAGAATGCTGACAACAACAAATGGTGAACATTTTGATTGTATTTTATTTAAGTCATGTCTGGACCATAACCAAACTAATGCAGCAGTCATTATATGATGCATCTAAAAATAATTAATATATTATAATTAATATTTTACATTTTACATATTTATTGAAAAAAGACCTATACTTAAGATATATTTTGCAGTTTATCATTTATAAGAGCATTAAGACTTAATAACACTTATTTATATAAAAATATAACTTAAATATTAAGAAACTAGTATTGATTCATTGGAAGCAAAAATATTGCTAATTTAGTAGTAATCTTAATTTCTATAGACTTTTTAACTATTAGTTAGGTACTCTTTAAATTTTCTCACCAAATTTATATTAGACTCTAAGCATTTTTGTGTATACTTCCAATCAAATTCAGTGCCTCTTGCACCTACCCATAAGAGTAGAAATCGTGTCAACAATATTTCAGCACCCGCCCAGCCAATGCCAGCAGTCATTACCTTGGCATGCCCTTTGCCAGGTATGCTTTGCAATATAACATATATTCCAGCAATATCTGCTAAATCAACAGAGCTTTTGAAAAAATTCTAAAAAAAAATATATTGTTAAAAGACCAMCAATTATTAGTCATTTAAAATTAGTATGAAAAAAAAGGATAAGAACTGCATAACATTACCGATAAACTCAATGTGGTTATAGATGCTTCGTTGGCCGGAAAGAATGTTGCTAAAATTAACATCTTGCATAGTTGGGTAAACGCATAGATAATGCCACCTTGTATGCACTTCCAAAATGCTCCATATTCAGATCTGAAAAAGAAAGCGAATGAAAATTACAGGCAGCGGATGCACAAAATTTTGTTTACTCACAGATTTGCGTATTTGTACGTTAAATAGTGTGGAACGTACAATAAAGTCACACAATTACCAAAATGATACAAAGTCATTTTAAGTTAAATCAATAGATTTGCAAGCTAATATGGAACTCCCAGACACCGAACTACCGAAGTTTATCTAAAAATTTTAATACATCACAGACCACAAGTGAAAAAAACTAAATCTATTCGGCAGTCACCCCCAATCAAGTGGAACTAGTGGAAGACGCCAAGACGGAACTAAATAAAAAATAATAGWGCGGTWCTGTGCTAAACGGCCTATACGCCTATACTGAATTGAATGAATTGATAGTCGCTAGGAGTCTTATGTGCATGACCGACATGGGTGTTTACAATTTTTACATAGATATTATCTATATTCTATGGAGTCTATAAATGTTTAAGTCACAGATATATAAAAATACTTTTAAAAATATTTTTATATATCTGTGGGGTGGGTAGTTGTCAGAAAAATGATAAGAATATTATTTAACCATGATTTATACCAGTGTACCAGCAGTGATACCAACGTGAAAAAAAATCATCGCAATAATAATTACAGCATACATATAAACATCACTGATGACAAAATCTTTTTACTTTTTAGCACTATACGTCCATAATCTAATCTATATTCTATACCTCAGATTAAATAAAATTATGTAATAGATAATAAATTTTTTAATACAATTAACAATTGTGGCATTTCTGAATGTTAAAGAATTATTAAAGTTGAATTTTTAGATTTTACTAGATGGATTCGACATAGAATGAATTTGTTTGGAACTTAACCATCCAAATTTTCATCAGCAAATTAGCTGTGTTATTTAGAACCTATAACAGAAAAAAAAAAACAATTCTAAAAAATTTTAAATGTTGATTATGAAAATTGAAAAAAAATGTTAACGGGTACCAATGAGTGATAACAATAATATGTCTCTCATTCTTCACAAATATAGCATATTTGTACATATTAAATACAATATAACACGGAGGTAAAATATAAAGTAAAATTAATTTTTATTACTGGAGATTCCTTATGTAKAAGTCATACTATAATATACAGTAAAATAAGTTTTATTACCRGAAATTTCCCATGTAGAAATCATAGTATAATATAGACATAGGCGTGTCCAGGCCTCCATGGTTGGGGAGGCCATTTATAAAATTTAAATGTTTTACTTACTTCAATGATCTGTATAACCTAACCTACCTATAATTTTTTTATTTATTTATCTTTTGTGTATTGAACTTATGGAGAACATTATAATAAATGAGCTAACACTCCTGCCA